AAACAGTCTCTCAGGGCTACTGAGATGCTGTCTCCCCAGCTGGGGGTCCTAAACATTCACACCAGGTAAAACACTCTCTACTTTCAGGTTATGGCTAATTTTTAAGTAGACACTAAGATAAGATATTATGTCTACTTACTTTCCTTTATAGAATCTACCAAACTCCACTCTGGCACCCTGAAAATCACCAGGTACAGAAATGTGAAAAAGACCCAGTTGATAGTAGCTTTAAGCTAAGTGGAAAAAACAACCAAGAAAACTGGAATGTTTAACAAAAAGTGATTATTACTAGTTCTCGGAGTGGCTTCAAGACCTGAATGACCTAATGTAGACACAAGCATACGTATAAGAGGTTTAATGAAATTCCTGGTATATCATAAAAGTAGTTCCATCTTCCTTTTGGATGATTACAAGCTTCAAGGAAAGTTTTTTTAGCCCTCTTAAAAAAAATCCTCAAATAGCCCCCTTCTAGCCAGCTTTCATCCTCCTGTCTTGCTCTCCCCACCCCACCACTGTGACTTGCCACAGCAGTCTGGCACTCCTTGGGTCTCTCTGTGTTCAAATTTCCTCTTATTATAAGGACACCAGTCACACTGGATTAGGGCCTATCTAAGGGCTCATTTTAATTCATTCACTTCTTTAAAGAGCTTCACTTCAAATGCACCTCACATTTCCAACAAGGTAGGGCTTTAAACATAAATTTTGGGAGAACACAATTCAACCTGTAAAAGAGATTATAAAAAGAAGTTTCACAAGCATCCCAAGGAACTAAGTGATGGTGGAGGTGGTGTTCAGTCACTAAGTTGTATCCGTTAAGGCATCCTTATATTTATGTCTTTAAATGCAGTTTGACAACTTTTCTGAAGTGAGGATACAATGCATAAAGTTAAGCTGTTCCCTAGTCTTAGGACAACTGTTTTGTGGTTGTCTACCAGTGATTTGGGGGATTTCACAGACAGCAGCTTCTAAGTTCTAGACCCACAACGTGGATCTGTTCTCTGGGAGCCTTAAAGCTGGGACAGTATAGGCAATGAAGAAGGGACAGGAGGTTAGAAGAAAGACAGAGGGAATTATAATGTGGTGTCAGGAAGTATGGATGAGACTTAGAGAGAAAAAAGGACGAGAAAACAAGATCAGAAATGATGGCACACTTGCGTGGGTTCTGTTGACTACCTGGAGGGTTATGACTAAATCGGGTCACTCGGGAGTGGGAGAAACATCTGTTTTGTTTTGTTTTTCTCACAAGAAATAGAGCTCTGCTTTTCCAGAATTCCATCTTCTTTTCTTGGGCTCCCGGGATTGGTGGGCAGCCTCTATGGCAAGCCTGGTATTTTACCTAAACTCAGCAGTATGGTGCCCAGATTTACTGTTTTTACAGTCTCCATGTACTCTTGCAATTCCTTCAAAAATTAATATAACGAGAGATATTTTTTAAAAAATCAGTTCTTTCCTCAATATGTTTCTTTACCAGCTGCTGCCTATGTGCCACAACTACTGAGCCCCTGCTTTATAGCCTATGAGCTGCAAGTACTGAGCCCGAGTGCTGCAACTACTGAAGGCTGGGCACCTTAGAGCCAGTGGTCTGCAACAAGAGAAGCCCCGCAGCTAGAAGCCCTCACATTGTAACTAGAGAGAGAGTAGCCTCCACTCCCCTGCATGCAGCCATAAAGACGCAGCACAGCCAAAAATAAATTAAAAAAAAAATCATTTGACTGTAATTGTGTGGGTATGTCTCTGGCCTGTCTATGCTGTTCCATTGATTTATGTGTTTATTCTTCCACCAATTCACACAGAAATATGTACTTAGGTGTTCAAAGCAGCTATCTTCATAATCACCCAGAATGGAACCAGTGCAAATGTCCAACAGGTGAATGGATAAATAAGCTGTGGAACATCCACAGCAATAAAAAGAAATGAACCATTGATTCACACAACAACTTGAATAAATTTCAAAGACATTGAGGAAGTGAGATGACACTATCCTACCTACACTTGTTACAAGCCACAAAGAAACCCAAAGTGCATGGGGAATTTACTGAATGCTTTGCAGACCTGCTTGCGATTTGTCCCCTAGAAAGTAGGGAGGCAGTTTTGAAGGGCTTCCAGGAGTGTCATGGTCTAGTCTCCAGGAAATTCACTCTCATTCTGAACCTTCTACCAGGACCTCCATCATGCATCATGAATCATGCACACAGAGGGCTGTCTCACATTGGTGATCCATTCCCCAAACCAGTACTGAAGCGCCTTTCATCACAGACAGGAAGATGAGCACCCCTTAGTGCTCCCACGTGCTCTGTGAGGGCTGAATCAGGCTAAGGAGGCAAGAGTAGAGATTGGCAGCCGCCTTTCATTTTCCAGTTAGAGAGAAAGCTCAAAGTGCAACATACTGATGAGACAGCACTTGGAAAAAAAGAACCTGATGTGATGGTCCTGTACTCTGTTCATTGAAGGACTCAGTTAAGGTGTGGATGGCTGATCTGTTTCAGGCTGGAAGACTATTGGCTGCTGGAATTGAACGGAAATTTACCACAGAGAGAGGCAGGAGAAAATCAACCTGTCGAAAAAGGCAGAAGACACTGTGGTTTTGTCGGTACAGGTAAGACCGCAGGAGCAAGGAGTGTGCTGGAAGGCATTTTACCTGTCCACCAAGAATGCAGAATTCCTGGAGCTTGTTTGGTTTGAAGAATCTTCTGACAATTAACACTATCCTTCTTAGAAGAATCACTAGATATGGTCATTTCTGTCATGATGCAGATATCCATCTTCACATGTTAGCACCTCAGTTTTCAGATTAATCTGCCTGTGTTAGTCTTCTGGAAGATGTTAATACTCCTTTATTTACGGGGTAGCAAGACTCCCCCAGAGAAGGGAAACTTTTTTTTTGGCCGCACCACGTGGCATGCGGGATCTTAGTTCCTAGACCAGGGATAGAATCCAGGCTCCTGCAGTGGAAGCCTGGAGTCTAAACCGATGACTGCCAGGGAGGTCCCCTGCAAAGAGATCTCTGATTTGTCTCCCAACAACTGCTGTTTCTTCTTGACTCTGCCTGATGTCTCTAGGACAAGACTTGATCTTTCCCATTTCGGTGTCCTGTTTAGAGCACTTCCCGCCCCATCCACACCCACACCTTCTGGTTCCCTGGCTGTCCAGGGCTGCACCCAGACCATCTGTTACCACCTATCACTTTATTCCCCAGATGGAGGCTCACATGGTCCCCTGGCCCAGAACCTGCAGGGAACCAGTAGTCAGAGCTGGTGACTGTGCAGAATAGATGCAGCAAAACTCCAAGTGAGTGTTTGAACTTCCACTAACCATTCTCTTAGCTCTAGAAGGAGGGAAAAAGAGGAACTGCTGGCTTGGAAACAATAGTGAGAAGAACTTAAGAAAAATTCTATCTAAAGAAAACAGATCTAGAAACAAAGTTTCCCTTTTATTCCCTCCTCCATCCTCACTGTAAGGAGTGAGATCCCTACTGCCACGGAATCAGCTATCCGCCCCTATCCCCCACAGACCCCAGGGTTAAGCATTCACTTTACCTAAAAACACACAATCAATTCCACCATTTATAAATGTAATACACATGATGACAGAACTGGTCAAACTGGTTGGCAGTAGATCTTTCTCTAGTTCTATGACCTTGTCTAGAGCCAGATGCAAGTATAAACAGGAAGTCATATGAAATGGTTAAGTGGTGACAGAAGCCGAGTCTAGTCTTTCCAATGGATATAATAAAGGGTTGTCGAGAAGTGAGCAGGCTCGCAGCCACATGCCCTGAGAACCTGTGAGAGCCCCCAGCAACTCAGGCAGGGAAAGCCGTGACTCCACAGCTCGCAGTGAAGGAGGGAGACTGGGGGATTTCACCTTGAGGAGATTCCAGTAGCAGAAAGAACAACGACAGGGAGGCCAGGACGCCTAGGGTTTAGTCTCAGTCTGACACTAGCTAGCAGCCGCCAGGAGCAGGTCACTTAACCTTTCTAAGACTCAGGTTTCCCCCTGTAAAAGGCAGGGCTTTCTTTAGATAGGGAGGGCCAATGGGTGGCACATGTACACTCACCTCTGTGGAGTCTTTGGTAGAGACCACTGCTCCATCATATCACTGTTTAAGCATTTTTGTACACATTCTAGGCAGGCACTTCTAATTAGATTTGGTCCACAAGCTGAAATCTACTTATTTGACATCCTCCCCGCATTTGGTGATCCCTGAGGTCCTTTCTAGCTTCTGAATGAAGGAGTCCAAGTTTGCAAGTAAGAGAGGACCATCTTTCTGATTTAGTAATAGCTCCCTCAAAAAAAGGAAAATGGGAATCTTAGGTCATAATTTCATACAGTCTTCCTCTGCCCCTGAGGCCAAACAGGGTCTCCCCCTGGGTCTCATGATCTTTCCTTCTGTGCCAGAGATATTTGTATGTGAGCTTCACCCTCTGTCAGCTCACCCAGCATGACAGTGTCCCAGACTATAGAGCCTTTTTAGCTAAAATCGCCCACACATTTATACTGCGTGTCAAGGAACTTACAAGGAGAGGAATTATCTTAGGGCAGTGAAAACCAAAAGTCAGAAGAGGTGGCATTTAAGGATTCCATTCCCCTCTCACCCCAGATAACCGGATTCACGCTTCTCACCCCTGGCAAGAGAGCAATCACACGAACAATACCCAGGTGGGGACAGCATCAGGAATTCAGGTGGTTGCAAGTATGGTTTATTGAAAGAAGCAGTGATTTGGTTAACACAGGTCCCATCTCACAACCCACTCCTCACCCCCCAAACCACCAGGGGCAAGACTCAGGTCAGAGGAGCAAGTGTGGGTTGGATAGAAGACTTAACCAGCTTGAGTTATTGCCCTCTTGCCAGGGAATCCTGTGTGTGTGTTTCTGGTAAGGTGTGCAGAGATAAGAGCCCTAACTAACTTCAGGTATTGCCCCCAGGGCAAGGAAACAAGGGGAGAGGCAGATGCCTTTGTGATGAAGTGGCCCATCTTGCTGCTCTGGCCTCAGGTGGAGACCTACACTGAAGCGTCGAAGTGGACTGGCACGTAAGGGTTTCCCTCGCAAGCCACAATGATGTGTTTCTCCGCCTGGGTGGTCTTGTAGACACAGTTGGGGTACTTGGAGCTGCCTGTCTCACGGCAGTCTGTGATATGCATAGCGGAGTTGCTCTGGTAGCAGTTGGACTGCCCATTCTTGCAGGCAACATTTTTCTGGAAGCACACAGCCTGGACATCGGCCAGGGACTCGTGCACAAAGGTGTTCACCGGCTTGCACCGATCTTGGGTCAGGTCCCGGCTCTGCATCATCTGGTTGCAGTAGTTGGAGCTGATGGCAGAGGACGGGCTGGGGTCCATGTGCTGCCGCTCAAACTTGGCGGCTGCAGATTCCTTGCCCAGGGAAGGCTGGACCCACACCAGCAGCAGCACCAGGACCAGCAGTGGCAACACGACTAGAGACTTCAGAGCCATGATGACCTCACTCCCCTGGAGGAACCTGAATGAGGAAAGGGGGAGAGGAGGAAAAGCATCGCCTTAGAAACGGAACCCCAGCTCCCACCTGTAGCCTCCCTGGCTTACAATCAACCAGAAAGATGTCTCTGTTCCTAAAAACTTTTCTAGGTAAAGAGGCACTCACATATACTCTTCCCACAAACATTTGACTCCCACTCCCTACAGAAGGGTCGTCCTCCCCTCTGGGTGGTGACCCCAGAAGTGACCTAAAATCCTAGCAGTCTTGTCTTTGAATACAGAAAGTCTTTTGATATGAAACATATTTGGAAAATAAAATACTTTTGTACCCAGCACTCATGCAGCTCATTAGGGGATCCTTTTGAATAAACCACTAAATAAATAAGTCAGATTTTGAATAAGCCGAGTTGTACCCCCAAAATAACCACCAGTATTCATCCAGATCACGGTTGACAGAACCCTGTTGTCCTCCAGCACAAGGGAAACTCAGTCCCTGTCCTGTGTCTGACACCACACCATAAAGGACACCATAGTATTCCTATGAGAGATTCAAGCCTCCCCCAACCTGGAGGGTTCTCCTTCTCCAGCCCCGTGGGCTCTCTGCAGCCTGCATGCTCCATTCCTGATTCCAGCTCTGCTCCCTGCCCATGTCTGCCTGGCTCAATTCTCAGGCTAATCTCACCCTGGATCCTCCCTCTCAAACCCTCAAGCAGAAGCAGCTCCTGAGACCACTTCTTGGGCTGCTTACCTGGGTCTCTGGTTTGATGTCTGAGAGAAAGAAGGCAGTTTCTGCAATCATTCTCTTCCAGAGGTATGGACTTTATACCGGTAAAAGGGGGCTTGGCTTCCAAGGAAGGTGGGAGGAGCATCTTGGTCTCAGTCCACAGGAAAACAAGGTCATGTGAGGAAGGGTTGGGGAATTGCCCAGGGCACCTGGCCCAGTAGTGAGCCATCCGCCTGCCTATTCAGCAGACTCCTGGTTCTGTCCCTGGGGTGGGAAGATCCTTTGGAGAAGGAAATAACAACCCACTCCAGATCTTGCCTAGGAAATCCCATCGACAGAGAAGCCTGGCAGGCTACAATCCAGACACAACTGAGCACGCACACACACCCTCTTTGGGGGGCTGCTGGGGATAGTGAGCCTTTGCTGATAAGAACTTTTTTCTCTATAAAGCAGCAGAGAAAGCCACTGTAGCACTGATGCTCAAACTCCAACCAAGTCCATGTTCCACACTAAATAGCCCATGCACATGTGCTAAGTCGCTTCAGTTGTATCTGACTCTTTGCGACCCTGATAGCTCAGTTGGTAAAGAATCTGCCTGCAATGCAAGAGACCCCGGCTCAATGCCTGAGTCAGGAAGATCCTCTGGAGAAGTGATAGGCTACCCATTCCAGTATTCTTGGGCTTCCCTGCAAGCTCAGCTGGTAAAGAATGTAGGAGACCTGGGTTGGGAAGATCCCTGGAGAAGTGAAAGGCTACCCACTCCAGTATTCTGGCCTGGAGAATTCCAGGGTCACAAAGAGTCAAACGTGACTGAATGACTTTCACTTTCACTTTTCACTTTGTGACCCTATGGACTATAGCCTGCCAGGCTCCTCTGTCCATGGGATTGAATGGGTTGCCATACCCTCCTCCAGGGGATATTCCCAACCCAGGGATTGAACCCATGTCTCATATCTCCTGCATTGACACTTGGTTTCTTTTATTGCTAGCATCACCTGGGAAGCATAAGGAGGTTAGCAAAAGTCACATAACAAGTAATCATGGGAAGGGGAAGGCATGGGATGTCTTCTCTCTCCCCGGGAATCCTGAAGCCGCTTTGGTCAGAATTTCATGACTCCCATCAGCATCTTCAGGGGGAAGGGGGTGGCGAGAGGAAGGGGGTATTGAGGAGGTGAGAGGTATCCAGCTGCCCTAGCTGGAAGCCTCCCTAGATCTGGAGAAGATGAGAGTACCTGAACACAGAGGAGGAAGAGGAAGCCTCTGTGTGACCTCACCCACTTATGGCCTCTTCTACACTCCTGGGCTGTTGAAAGAGAGTGTGTGGCTGTTCTTATCTACAGTGATCTCTCCTCCTGTAGGCCAGAGTGGAGGAGACAAATTTGAGATAAGCCAAAATGCAAAATCCCTTTTAGAGAAGAAACAGAGAACATCATATTTCTTAGCAGTAGAATTTCCTCCCAGAAAGAGACCTGTATTTGCTGAGAGACAATTTTGTTTTTATTTATTTACTTTTAAAGTATAGACTTCCCTGATGGCTCAGATGGTAAAGCGTCTGCCTACAATGCGGGAAACCTGGGTTCAATCCCCGGGTCAGGAAGATATCCTGGAGAAGGAAATGGCAACCCACTCTAGTATTCTTGCCTGGAAAACCCCATGGACGGAGGAGTCCGGTAGACTACAGTCCATGGGGTTGCAAAGAGTTGGACACCACTGAGCGACTTCACTTACTCACTTTAAAGTACAGTTGATTTACAATATGTGTTAGTTTTAGGTGTACAGCAAAGTGACTCAGATATATATAGACAAATACAGTTATTACTTTTTTACGGAGGAAATTTTACTCCCTCTGGAGCATGAATTATCAAAATATCTCTATGTTCTAGGTTTACACTGTGTTGGTCTGTAACTGGGAAGGGTTAATTTTGACTCTACACTGGATCTGTTTCTGTGACTTTAATCCTTGGTGGTTTTTTTTTTGCTGCTTTTGTTATTATAGCATACATAAAGGCCTGCCTCAGGGAATCCTGCCCACCCCCACACCCTTAAACTAAAGTGAAGTCGCTCAGTCGTTTCCAGCTCTTTGTGAGCTCATGGACTGTAGTCTACCAGACTCCTCCGTCCATGGGATTTTCTAGGCAAGAATACTGGAGTGGGTTGCCATTTCCTTCTCCAGGAGATCTTCTCAGCCTAGAGATTGAACCCAGGTCTCCCACATTGTAAGCAGATGCTTTACTATCTGAGCCACCAGGGAAGTCACACCCTTAAACTAAAGTGCCTTTGTTCAGCTCACAGGAAGATAACCTGGCCCTGCCCACCTGTGAAGGACTGTGACATTAAGTTCCTTGTGTAGACAGTGGTGCCACTTGCCTGCTGCTTGCCCGGAGTGGCTCAGAAATTCACATTTGGGGGAGAGGGGGCGGCTGGAATTGCACATACCTGTGGCATCCTTGCTTATTGATACAGCAGGAGATATTCCATTTTACACCACCTGCGAAAAGGCTGTGTCTGTGTTAAGTCACTTCAGTCATGTCAAATTCTTTGTGACCTACGGACTGTAGCCCACCAGGCTCTTCTGTCCATGGGATTCTCCAGGCAAGAATACTGGAGTGGGGTGCCATGCCTTTGTCCAGGGGATCTTCCCAACCCAGGGATTGAACCTGTGTCTCTTATGTCTCTTGCATTGGCAGGTGGGTTCTTTAACACTAGTGTCTGTAAGGAAGTGAAACTCACATATCCCCATCTGGGACTTGCCATTCTAGAAGGTATTTGCAAGAAATAAATGGTCTTTCTACTTTAGCTTTCCTGGTGGCTCAGACAGTAAAGAATCTTCCAGCAATGTGGGAGACCCAAGTTCCATCCCTGTGTAGGGAAGATCCCCTGTAGAAGGGAATAGCAACCCACTCCACTCTTGCCTGGAAAATGCCACAGACAGAGGAGCCTTGTGGGCTACAGTCTATGGGGTCACAAAAAGTCAGACCTGACTGAACAACTAACACTTTCGCTTTCAACTTTGTTTCCTCAGCTCACCCCCCATCTCTGATCCATACAAGAACCTGGCATCCAGGCCCCAACAAAATGGTTATTTTGAGATGTTAATCTGCCATCCTCTTGGTCAGCTGACTGTCCAAATAAAGTTGTTAGGTAGTTAGAATAGGAAAAAGGAGTCCAAAATGGTGGTGGCTAAAAGATAAAGAAAGGGAAAAGCCCGCAAAAATGAAACAAAGGAAAATCTGCAGACTGGAGTGAGAACTTCAGGTGAAACAAACACACCCCCTTCTTGGTCAGCCCGATTTACATATGGCAGGCTCAGCGGGGAGGAGACAAATGAATGAAATGAGGAAGCCAAGACATCGGGGCCTCACCTTTGGGGTCTGCCTGCCCTCACACCTCGAGGGTGTACTATCTGTTGCTTGCTGAATAAAACTAAGCTATGACCGAGCTGTAACACTGGTCTGCCATTTCACATCTTTGCTGCGGTGAGACATAGCCAAGAAAATTACACACTCCCTTGACAAAGTTGTATTCTGTGTCTCAATACCTAGTCTCTCAGATTTATTGTCCTATCATATGGTGAACAGAGCAAGCTTGGACTCAGTGACAAGTCCAAATCCTGGTTTAGCACCTTAAGCACCGGGAAAGTTTTCTCATCTCTAAAATGGGGTGATAATAACATGTTTCTCTTAGACTTGTTTTTAAGACAAAATAAGGTAAGAAGCAGTGTTCCCTGATAGCTCAGTGGTAAAGAACCTGCCTGCCATTGCAGGAGACATAGGAGACACATGTTCAGTCCCTGGATCAGGAAGATCCCTGCGGGAGGAAATGGCAAGCCACCTCAGTATTCTTGCCTGGGAAACCCCATGGACAGAGGAGCCTGGCAGGCTACAGTCCATAGAGTCACAAAGAGTCAGACAAGACTGTGCTACTTAGTACACAGGCCAAGTAAGATGCAGACAGTGCTTAGAAAGCCTGTTATTATTCACAGTGTGGGGTTAAAACCTCCCACAAGGAATTTGTTTAAATAAAACTAGGTGGGGGAAAAAAAAATGATAGCAAAAAAAATAAATAAATAAACCTAGGTGATCTTGAAATTGCTTTCTACAGGGGGTGGAGTCAATAACTGCCTGGCTTTTGCTTTGCTAAAATCCAGAGCTGAAAACAGCAGGAAGTTTCAAATCCCTGGTGACGGAAAGGTAGGAGAAAGAGAAAGGAGAGGAAACTTGATGGAAAGAACAGAATTTTTTTTTTTTAAGAGATTTTAAAGTAATTAGCTTCCAACCAATAAAAATAAATGGAAAAATAAA